TATACAAAATTCAGCTGTATAATGTTGATCCACTATCTTCTTCCAAACAAGAAAAACTAATGAGAAAATGAGGACACCAGGGGTGAATGTTCTGAAAGTTGAAATACACATGTTTTGACCATGGGAGGAATCACAGCTTTAAAAGAGGGCTCTGAGAAAATTTTGCCTTGAACATATTTTAGAGAGGTGTGAATCTGACACAGTTTAACGGCAATTCTCAATACTGATCGAATCCATACTCTGAAGCTCCTAAGTCTTGCTTTGTAACAGAGCATTCCTGCTACAGTCGATTTTAAGTGGCAGCTAGAAGAGTTGTCGATAATCACTGCACATGGAGTTCAGTATCTGAGATGCTTGCACTGGTTAGAAGGGTCAAGTGACAAGGTTGTGTGTATGAGCAAGCCACAGTAAGGTCTTTGAACGGCAAGGGGATGGTTTCCCTTTTATCTTTTATTAAAGGGGATCAGGTGTTTGCCCATAAGAATTGCACTCCAAGCAACATGCAGTTCTATTCTGGAACATGCCCATAAACTAGAGATATGTCTGTTTAAATAAACATAAAATCATGAATATCCTACAGCCAAATGAGACAGTGGCATTTAGGAGTAGAGGCAGACAAAAATCCACTTACTTTGCTTACTTTTTTTTTCCCATTCCTGAATGAATGACTTAACTTTGAGATTATCTAGATTTTCCCAGAAAAAAGAACGAATAATCACACACATCCTAATATTTACATATGTTGCTCGGTACATTTTCTAATTCGCATCCTGCAAAAAAGCATGTAAAGAGGGGATTTTTTTTTTTAATTGAAGATCTTAAATATTGTCCCTGAAATGATACAAAATTTATTGAAGAATTCAGGTCAGCATTCTTGCTTGGAATACTACGTATTCTTTACTTTTCAGTGTTCAGTCTTTCCTATTCTTCAAGGCAGACTAGAGGGGAATTATTCGTTGCACTAGCCTTGGAGTTCTTGTACTCTACTTATTTTGAAACCTTTCATTTGTTGCGACAGCTGCAAGGTGTCCCTTCAAGGATTTTGCTTTTTTGATTTATACTTTTATACACTCAAATCTCAATTGAGATATCCGCGCTTCATTCCATTTTCTGACCTTACACTATCAAGCCGGAGTGACCCCCAATCTCTTAGGACTGGGCTACATTCCAAACCAGGTTATGGAAGCACAAGGGCAGAGAATCAAAGCCACACATCACCCCGGGCCCCAAGGAGACACTTCATGTAAAGCTGAGTGAAGGCCAGCCAATCAGCAGACCTCATTTATTCACCCACGTGAGAATTCTCAACTCTCCACCCTTTGAACTTTTGACATTATTTTTGAGTGTGTGTAAGTCCTGTTTATTCCAAACACAAAAGACAGACAGATGCTCAGTTTGGCATGGAAACTGGCTTCATGGAAATAAATGTTCTTTCTTTTCCGATCCCTTTTATTTATTTTTTCCCTGGTGGGGATGGTCCTGCCTGACACGCATCGTAGTTGCTGACATATTAGTGACTCTCCCCTGCATCTGTTTCTGGCTATTGTTCTCCTCACGACACACCTGTCATTGTGCCCATGCAGTGAGGCGTTTCAGATAATAAAACCCCTCTGAGCCTGGTCAAATGGACACGGTAGTCAATAAGACTGTGTGCTAATGCATCTGGAAATCAACTGACCATGAGTGCCCGAGCACTCCCCTGACTTCCCAGCCCCCACATCGGGAGGACTGCGTTCACTTAGATGCTGTCTTGGTCAGAGAGGGAATGAGGCTAGAATCCACCTTCCAACAGAAATCTTTTCAAAATGCTTCTTTCTCCTGAACACCAGGTCTGACTTTCAGCAGTGGGAAGGCATTAAACCTGCTTAAACACATATTTTAAAATATTCCTTACGTTGATGTAAGAATGCAACTTTGAACTCTGCACGTTGCATCCCTGTTTGTTACTGAGTTGCGGACATGAATGTTGAGCCCCGGGTACCACGCCTAGATGTGATGAACATTCAACACATTAAGTTGTTCTTTTGGTGGTGGTCACAGTGAGTCTGATAACACCCCAGGGAATGAAACATCTGTTTATATTCATGGTTCACAAGGCTCATGGGGACCAAGTGGTTTGCTCGCTCACATCACACCTCCAGGAAATGGAAGAAGCTGCCGCCTCCCATGCATGACAGGTGGGAGGTGGTGATGACATCCTTACAGTGGAGAAGCAGGGATGAGCACACTTCTTTGCAGTGTAAACCAGGTCCACGGTCCATTTATGGCAGGCTAGCAAACGACTAAATGACCCCTAACAGTTGTTTAAATAGCAATTCGAGTTTGGGGACAGGCTATGTCTAAACCCCAATTTATATCCTATCGAAGAGCCATCCTCCTCTGTGAATGAGACCAAGATTGGGAACAAAGGAGAATAGCATTGTCTCTCTTTTTCGAAAGAGGCTTGTGAATGCTGTGTCAGTTGAATTGTTCTATTTATAAGGCCTTTGTTTTTCCTTACTGTAAAACTCTTAAGGACACTGCATCGCCCGGTGCAATTCAGTATGACTGGGGCTCGAAGGGGTCTTGATCTCCACGTACAGTACACCACAGGAGTGATTTATAAACCACAATCCCAGAGCATCCCAGGACTAGGAATGAATTGAGGCTTCCAAGTGAACACAAGTGCTATGAATTCCAATGTTAGACCAGCACAAGAAATGTCCCTAAACTCATTTCCTGCAAGTGAGAATGGGGATGTGGTTGGAGGGAATTAGGGGGAAAGGCAAACCCCATAAGGAATGAGGTTGGTACCCAATTAGCTTCTTTTCATATTATGGGTTTAGGGAGGCCAAGTAATCCCAAGATGGCTCCAGTCATTTGCACGTTGGCAAAGAGGAACAGTATCTCTTTATAACAGTGTGAGGTCGGAGGGAGAAAAGGGCAGAGGGAGGAAAGGAGAGAGCTATCTGCAAGAAGAGGATTGCGAATGCTCGGAATTCCCTGGGCATGAACATTCTTGCAAACAAAAAAAAGAAAGAAAGAAAGAAAAGATATTATAAAATTAATAACTTGAATGTGTGATCTATAAAAATAATTATTCTTGCACAGTCCATTTTTCATAAAGCACTCAGTGGCCTGAAAGTAATTTTTGATATGGATACGGGAGCAAAGCACTTGAAATGCACAATTATCCCAAATTTTCTTTTTTTTACAAAAGACTTTCCTGTTCAAATCTCAATGTGTTTTTTCTTCCTGTCTTCTCCACTCAACCGTTTGGTCTAAAGACAGTCAGGGAACTAAATATATATTAATTAGAACTCTTGGGGCTGGCATCAGTGAGATACAATTATACCAAACGGATGCCATTCCAGGCTCTGATAGCTTCATTTAAATTCCTGAATAAAACATGAAATATCTTTAATGAGAAATGAATATAGTTGTCAGGAGGGAGTAGTTCTGATAGTGTTACTGGTTGAGAAGCAGAAGATGAAGATATAATGTGAATACCTCCCATTTTATATAAAAATGATGGTTGTTAGAAAAGACAGATCCCTCTTCGGAGACGTCATGTGTGCAACAAAATAAAAAAAATCACAGAGCCTAACAGCACAGTCTCCTCCCAAGGAGCTGCAGCTTCTGTGAATCTGCCGACACAAACCCGCTCTGTCCCCAGGAAAAAGGATCACCTCCAACAGCATCAGTGACAATGAATATGTGCAGCCCCATAGAGCAAGTCACTTCTTCCTTCCGAGAAAGAGTTGGGTATGATTTCACAGCCATCAACGTTCTGTTGAGAGCAAAAGAGATCCAGGCGCATGAGCACTTCTCTCCCATCTCTGTCTTCCAAGATAACCACTGCTGGAAACAGAGGAAAGTGGGTTGGTGAAATCACAGTCCAGGAGACAAACTCTGCATGGCCGGGCCTCTTTGATCACAGGCCCTGGGCAGCCCAGGCCTGAGCCCCAGGCTCCAGGGAAAGCATGTTCACCTGTTGGGCTGTGGCTGGTGTTTGCTTCTCTTCTTCCCAGGGGCTTCGTTTTATTCATCTTGTCTTTAATCATTTAAAGAGCAACATGCTACCTTCCATTCCATTCGGACTACACCTGTGTTAATTCCAGGCCAGCTTCAAGCGCCTTAGAAACATGACCAACAATGATCGGTTCTTGGTCCGCCCACCATTGAAATGGGAGGGTCAGTCTTCAGACTGGGAGACTGGGAGACAGGAGGGGCAGAACTGGCCAGCAGTTGGTCTGGAGCAATAGAGGAAGCTGCTGCTGCTGCTGCTAAGTCGCTTCAGTCGTGTCCAACTCTGTGTGACCCCATAGACGGCAGCCCACCAGGCTCCCCCATCCCTGGGATTCTCCAGGCAAGAACACTGGAGTGGGTTGCCATTTCCTTCTCCAATGCATGAAAGTGAAAAGTGAAAGTGAAGTCGCTCAGTCACGTCCGACTCTTTGTGGCCCTGTGGACTGCAACCTACCAGGCTCCTCCGTCCATGGGATTTTCCAGGCAAGAGGTCTGGAGTGGGGTGCCATTGCCCTCTCTGAATAGAGGAAAAGGAGGATCGATAGTGCCCCTGTATCACCCATCACAGGGCAGAGCTACTTTAAAGGACAAACAGAATGCCACTCTGTTTTTTTTTTCCTAAGAGACATGATACAACCCTGTCTTTACAAAGTAGATTGAGGCCAAGTGAAGCAGCTAGGATGGCCAGGCGATAAAGAGCTTGTCTTCTGGTTAATTTGCACAGCACCCACTGGACAAATTGATGGGCACCCACGTACAGAGTGCTGCAGAGAGGTGCTGAGATGAATTGGGCTGGGTCATCACCTTTGCAGGGCTTCTCATTGTTGTTTAGTTGCTAAGTTGTGTCCGACTCTTTGTGACCTCGTGGGCCTCATGGACTCTTTGTGACCTCGTGGACCTTCATAGCCCACCAGACTCCTCTGTCCATGGGATTTCCCAGGCAAGAAAACTGGAGTAGGTTGTCATTTCCTTCTCCAGGGGATCTTCCCAACCATGGATCAAACCCACTTCTCTTAAGTCTCCTGTATTGGCAGGTGAGTTCCTTTGCCACTAACACCCCCGGGAAGCCCTGCAGTGCTTCCGGCAGCAATTTCCAAACAATGCTGTTGCATAGGAAGGCTCTCCAAGATCTGCCCCTCCCATCTCTGTGGTCCATCTCACCCTGTGAGCTTGGAGGCTGCGATGCTGCATTTCTAGTCGAGTTGCCAGATGATGCTGGCGTTGCTGGTACCAATCCAGACTTTGAGTAGGAAGGATCTAGCTGCCTGAGCTCTCCAGACTCTTCCTTGCCTCCAGGTCTCTACCATCACTCTCTCTACCAGGACGGACCTCCTCCCCATCTGCCTCTCAGGATGTCGCTGTGCCCTCTGTGGCTCTTTCTGATCACTTCTCTTTCACTTCTGGGGACCCCAAGAGTCCTAAGGGCATCTTCTGCAGCAAGTATGTATAACCATTTTTTTTCTACTTATTGATTTGACCATTACTGCCTCATCTGCTAGGTTGAAAACTATTATTGAAAGAAATCATACATTTTGCAGGTCTAAGTTAGTGCCTGACACATAATAAGAGTTCAAGCAAAAAAGCAAACTCATAGATACAGAGAATACAGTTGTAGCTGCCAGGGGGATGGGACGGGGAATGGAGTAAAATGGGTAAAGGAGATCAGAGTACAAAGTACCAGTTACAAAATAAGTCATTCCTATGTAATGTGCAGCATGGCAACTATAATCAGTAATACTGCACTGCATATTTAAAATTTCTGAGAGTAGATCATAAAAGTTCTCATCACAAGAAAAAGAAAATTCTGTAACTATGTATGGTGATAGACTTTAACGAGACTGTGATTATTTTGTAATGAATACAAATATTGAATCATTATGTTGTATACCTGAAACTAATATAATGTTGTATATCAATTATAGATCCAAAAAAAGTGTTCAAATAAACATTTGTTGACTGAATGGATTTAAAAAAAAATGACAGAAATAGATATTATAACCTGTTGAGCTTGTCTAGGTTTATACTTTCCTATTTAAAATGCATGTAAAGATTTGGCCTGTCTAGGCTTGTATGACGTGAAGAAATCTGGATAAGTAGAAAAAACACATTAAATTTTATTTTTGACTTCCCTGAGACCAAATAACAATTTGGCTAATATGCTTTTGCTTTTCAATAGTGACTTTCATTTTTCCAAAATTGATTGAATCTATCATCTGCTTTGATCTTGTCCTTTGTTTTTAAGCCGCTTCTGTATGTGTCTTTTTGTTCAGGGATGGAGCAATAATAGTAATGACAGTCCTAGCTAACTTTTCCTGAGTTGTGCAGGAGTATTTCACGTGTGTTAATGCAATTCATCCTGTTCAGTTTCCACACTCCTGTGAACAAAGAAACAAGAGAACTGAGAGGTTACTGTTCCCACCCAAAGTGCACCAATCACTGTACATAGCTAATGGCCTAGTCATGATCTCTGCACAAAGTAAAGCAAGAAATATGGGGATAAAATTGCATAACAAGAGATTGAATTGATGTGGGGACAAGTTCCTTCATCCTGACTTGCTGAGGCAGGTTGCCCAGATAGAAGAACCTTGGCTTCAAACCGCTAGACAAAAAAATAACATATTTTAGGGCTTTCCTGGTGACTCTCTCGGTAAAGAATTCACCTGCAACGCAGGAGACCCAGGTTCCATTCCTGGTTGAGAAGATCCCCTGGAGAAGGAAATGGCAACCCGCTCCAGTATTCTTGCCTGGAGAATCCCATAGACAGACAAGTCTGGCACGCTACATTCCCTGGGGTGGCTAAGAGTCAGACATGACTTAGCAACTAAACAACAACAAAAACATAGGTTTTTAAGCATTTGTCAGCCTGGTCAGGAGATTTGGAAAGCTTGCATCTCATCCCAACATGTGACTCCATATTGTTATCTCTCTGTGTCCACAGGGTAAACGTAGGATAACTGGGTGGGTCCGGTGAAAAGTACGCTTGTCTCACTACTGGTTGGCTTGGCCTTGATGTCTCAGAGTCGCCCTGCTCCGGCCATCCTAGCCTTCCTTCCTCAAGGCTCTATCCTACACAGCCTCCCTGACTCCATCGGACGCAGTTGGGGGTGGTTTGTGGGCACACACCAAGGGGTGCCCAAAAGTCTCAGCTGCACCCACTGCTTGCCATGTTTAAGCCAACATGACTTTAAGATCCCCTCGCATTTCCCTGTTACCTGCATAACCGCTGAGGCAGAAGCCGGGTCTGCTTGGCTCATTATATTTGTGCATGCGAGCTCACTCCCTTCAATCTTGTCTGACTCTTTGTGACCCCATGGACTGTGGCCAACCAGGCTCCTCTGTCCATGTGATTCTCCAGGCAAGAATACTGGAGTGCCCTTATGCCTCTGCCATACATAAATTTCACCCCACTCCATATCCGCAAGACTGTTGGTCATGTAAAAGTGTAACCATGACATCAGCTGCCATGTAATGCATGCATCCTTTGTGGTCAGCTGAATCCTGGTCATGGACTATCCTACTGGACCCTCGAAGAAATGAAAGACACCTTATGATCAGACACCACCAATTTCTATGGATTCATGTCTCACTTTGTCTCCACTGAATTGTATTCCTCCAGCCACATCGAACAGACTCTTGCACGCTCACATGTGTCTGAGGCACCATTTTACAGATGAGTAGACTGAGATTTGGAGTGAGAAGTAAGATTGCACAGTGAGAAGGTGACCGAAGTGAGGATCCAAGTTTCACTTCTAACTACTCTTAACCTATAAATTATACTACCAGAGGACCGGAAAAAAAAATTTTTTTTTCAAGTTTCTCCCTCTTGCAAACACCAGGAGAGAGCACGTTCAAGGCATTCAGGGTTTTGAAGGACTAGATTTGTGCATCCTGGTTGTCTATAAATACCTCCACTAAATAGGCACAGGGGAGGGTCCTAGAGGCAGCTGCGGCTGTTTGTAAAAGTGGTCTAGACAGGAAACGGGAACAATGTATGTCCCCCATCAGTGAGCACTTAACCTTCAGATTTCAGCAGTTTGGGCTGGGGCACCATGAGTTACAAAGTTGCCTATTTGGTGTGTGCGACCTCTGACTACAAAACGGAAAGTCTTTGCAGGAAACTGTTCCCCATCTTAAGGGTTTTCCCTGTTTCCTCCTCTCATACAGGATGGAAGCCTGTGGTAATAGGGTTGAATTGTGGAAAGTAGAGGTGAAGGCAGGGCTGGGACTAGGGAGAGGTGAGGGAGCATGTGTATTGGGGCATAACATTCAACAGATGCCCCAAACCCAGGTAATCAAGGTAAGTAGTATTTTCATACAATATTTAAAAAATTCAAAATTAATGCAAAAATCCATGATGAACAATCAAAATTGTAACTAAACACGGGATCAGTACTACTAATATTCCCTTTTGTCTTGGGATCCAAAATGGCTCTGTGTGGACCCAGGATGAAATTAGTGGAGTAAATTTAAATTTGAGGTGCTTATAAAATCTTGACTAACGAGGCACTTTCTGACTCAGACTCAGTCAGAGAAGGCAGAAAATGCAATTATCTGAGTTTTTTTTTTATTTTTTATTTTTTATTTTGAAGTGTCAATGTTTATAAGCAGGAGTCAACTGATCTTTTCTCCTCAGAGCGCTGGCATAGACATTCTGGGACTGCAAATCTCCCTACCTGCCTGTAACCTCGAGCAGGACCTAAAGCTTCTCTAGTCATCGCTCCTCAGTGAATAAATCACCTGGTCACTTTCGAGTAATAAAATGTCTAGCCTAGGACCCCTTCAAACTTTCATGCTCCATGCACTGAACACCTCTCTCTTTGTCTGGCTGAGAATTCAATCCCTGAGCTGGAGAACTTGCATAGGAAAAAAGTCAGGGTCAGATTTTCCTATTCTCTGAGCCACTGTCTCCTTCCCTCGCTCTTTTTGGTTTTGGACTCTCCAGGGATAGAACATAGAGGGGAGGAGAAGGGAGGTGTGGGAGAAGGCTTCTAACTTGGGGACAGTTGAAAGCCAGCATTGATAGCTTCTGGGTGTGGCAGAAACCAGATATTGAATCTTTTTCTCATGGAACCACTTGGGGTGGGGGTCTTTGGGCAGCTCCTTATCGTTCATGGTCATTTTCTTAAATCTTTTGACTGCTCTGGGTCTTTGTTTGCAGCCCGTTGGCTTTCTCTAGTTGTCATAGGAGGGTTTAGTTGCTCTGAGGCACGTGGCATCTTAGATCCCCTACCAGGAGTGGAACCCACGTTCCCTACATTGGAAGGCAGATTCCTAACCACTGGACAGCCAGGGCAGTCCCTGTTCATGATCTTTAATCCCAGTTCCCTTGATATGGCCTAAGTTTTCTCCAGATGGACACTTAAGTCAACCACAGTCCTGTGTCCATGTTCTGCTCCCAAGGCCCCTCCCATAGTCCTCTTGGTTGGAGCTCTCCCAATAGGACCCAATCCTGCTTCTTTACAAAAGACCCTCATCATACCTTGAGGATTTAAAGCCCGTGGGCACAGCCAACCAAAGAGCCCAGGCACCTCCCAGTACACCCCGGTCTCTTAGCTCTAATGTTCCACAAGAGAAGCACTACCCCTGGCATCCATCTGAGGATCAAATATATGCCCCCACTTCTAACACCCACACATACCCTTCAGTGGGCACAGGACAGACTTTCCAAGAGGTTCTCCTAAGGTACCTGCCAATTAGTCCAAGTAAAAGAAGACACGGGCTTCCCCAGTGGCTCAGGGTTAAGAATTCACCTGCAGTGCAGGAGACGCAGGAGATGCAAGTTCGATCCTTGGGTGGGGAAGATTCCTTGGAAGAGGGCATGGCAACACAGTCCAGTATTCTTGCGTGCAGAATCCCATGAACAGAGGAGCCTGGAGAGCTACAGTCCATGGATTCACTAAGAATCGAAATGACTGAATGAGCATGCACACACACAAAAGGAAAAGACACACCCTCCTCTAAAAGCATGAGGTTGGGAATCACACAGAACAGACACCACTCTCTCTCTAAAGAAATTATTCAGTTTCCCAAATGATTCTTAGTTTTTTTCTTATATAGTCTAGAGTTGTTACCATAATGTCACACCAAAAAGTCACATCAAAGATGTATTTTTAATTCTCCCTAAACAATACAGGAGAATTCATATATGGCTGAATTGTTTGGTTTAAACATAAAGTATAGGCTAAAAACAAGCACAATTCAATGTGGCATTATTAGAAATGGTGTCTTTCCTAGATATAGTGTGACCTTATACAGTGAAAATGATCATACACACATACACACACAAACCTAAATACAAATGGAAGATATAAAAAGTTTAACACCATGTCATGTTCTCAGATCATGTGGGGGTAATTTCTCTCAGCCAGATTTATGGATTTTTCTCTCAAAGCTAACATCTATTTGTTAATTTCTATTCCTATTGCCCTGAGGCAGGACCCTGTTGACTCATGCCTGATCCGCTATGCACTGAGCCTCCAGCCTAGTCTTCCTGAATGTAGGTCACCTCCCCTCTTCTAGACCACCCTGGATACTCTGCCTATGAAATCTTCCTAAAATAAAAGGTGATCCTGCCTTTTCCTTCTACAACCATCAGTGGCTCCCTAGCACCTACTGCATAAATTTCAAATGTTTAGGCATGTTTTCCTTCTGTGACTTCATTTCTTGTTTCCTATATACAAAATACACCTATCCAATCCAAATTTACTATGGCCCCAAACAGCCACAATTTCCAACCTACACACACAATAGGTATTTAGTAAATGTGTTGAAGAAGGTTCTAAGTGTTCACATTATTAAAAGATTATTGAGAGGGTAGTACTTAATGTGTAAAGGGTATTTAACAACGTCCATGAGTATAACTATCATATTTCAACTGCCTCTTTTTGTGTATGTTTTCCTAATCATAATGAATATTTTACAGACAGAATCTGTGTTCTCTTATCAATTTAAGCTTGATGCCCAGAAACCAAAGTGCTCAGTCATGTCTGACGCTTTTGTGACCTCATGGACCATAACCTGCCAGGCTCCCTTGTCCATGGGATTTTCCAGGCAAGAATACTGGAGTGGATTGCCATTTCCTCCTCCAGGGGATTGGAGACCAATAAATATTTGCAAAGAGAATAAAGGAAGTTTCCCAAAACTAACACATCATAAAACAATTATATCTTCCAATTAAAGATAAATTTTTAAAAAGCCTGAAAAAAAAAACATCTGCAAATCAATAAGAAAATGATAAAGATTCAATAGGAAAAGATCTGGTAATTTATAAGCATAAATGGCTAATAATTATATAAAAATATGTTCAACCTTCCTGCTTATCAAATAAACCCAAATTTGTTAATAAATAAAGGCATGGCCCCTTAATTATAACAGTGGTCAATTGTGTTAGATTGGAAAACAATAAACTGACATTAAAGTATAAGAAGTGCTAAGCAAATGAACTAGACCAAAAATATCAGAGAGCTAAGTTCTGGTCAGGCTAGGCTAGGTTAGCTGCATAACAAAAATGTCCAGAATCTTTAGGGCTTAATGCAACAAAGGTTGATTTTTGCTCCCATAATATATACTGTGAATGCACCTGGTTGGCAGTTTCCTAGGAGACTCTCCTCAAAGCGATCACTTAGGACCAGATTCCTTTCATCAGTTCACTCTCCTTCCTTAAAGTCCTCTCCTGGGTCTTCTGCATCCAACCAGCTGTCAAGCCAAGAATAAGAGCCTGAAGGGACCCCCTAAAACAGGGTGTTTTCAAAACCAGGATGGGAGCATCCGCCAGTCTTCTGTCAGGCTCCTCTTTCATTTGGATTCCAAGTGAACTGGGAAAAGTGGTTCACATTATACAGAGGAAGGGGAGGAGAATCAGATTTGTTGAATATTTACAGTCTTTCCTGTACTAGATTTTTATGTGTATTTTCAGAGCAACTTCCATCAATCCTATCAGCTGGACCTAGACAATCCCAACTGAGGGAGATTATATTAGTTGTCAATGACTGCATCACAAATCCCACCACAAAGGCCTTGTACAAGGACATGTGTTATTGTATAGTGTCTGTGGCTCAGGCATCCAAGTGGGACCTAACTGGGTCCTCTGGCTCCCGTCTCTCCCAGCCTGCAGCCAAGCTGTAGGCCAGGGCTGAAGTCAGCTCTGGGCTCAAAGGAGGGGTCAGTCTTCTTTCAAGCTGACTCAGTGGCTATTGGTGGGATTCAGTTCCTTGTCAGATCGTACACTGAAGGCTCAGGTCCTTACTGGCTGTTGACTGGAGGCTACTCTCTGATCCTTGATGAGCCAACCCTCCACAGAGCCGCTCACAACACGGCAGCTCAGCTCATCCACGTGAGACACCCAAGAAAAGCCTGGGAGAGAAGGTGAGCAGGCCAGAAGTCACGGTCATTGCTAACCCAGTCTCACAAGGACACCTCATGACATTTGCCATCATCTGTCCATGGAGAGCAAGGCACTAGGGCCAGCCAAACTCAACGGAGGCAACTCCACAAGTGCGTGTGTATCAACAGATGGGGATCACTGAGAACTTTCTGGAAGTCTCCTACCACAGAGATCATGGAAAAAAGACTAATCTAAACCCCAAACTACAGGAATTGAGTAACTGAACGGGGCACTTAAATCAAGATTTGGTACACAGCACTTTGGTGATGGAAGGGAGAAAGAGGGGATTCCGGGGGATAAAGAAGTCAATGAAAGTTTGTTCAGCACATGGAGGGCATGAGGTTAAAATGAAGCTTGCCCGTGAACAGGGAAGTTGCTGCTGAGATGCTGAAAATAGCCACACTGAAGAAGAAAATATAATTAAAACCAGAGAGTGATTTTAGAGGGAAAGGCATTTTACAAAGACTTCTGAGGTGAGAATCACACCTCTCACAAAGGTTAGTGCTGAGAATTCAGTGACGATGGATCTGAGATGCCTTGATTTGGCAGTACTCAGTGGTGGCTGGAAGTCCTTTAATGAGCTTCCCTGGTAGCCTGCATGGTTCTGGTCCAAGGACCACGCTTGGAGTAGCAAAGAACCAGCAGAATGCGGGGCCTGTGAAGATGCAATGAAAACCTTGTCTCAGCGGTCCTTACACGGGAGCGAGTATCACAGCGCCCTGTGGCCTGTATCACCAGGCACTTTGTTAGTCTCCTCAACCACGTTTGGGTTCAGCAGATCCGGGGTGGGGGCCCCAGCCTCAAAAGATGGTAAATGAGGAAGATATGCAATCATTCTGCTCTCGTGAAGTTCCAATTTATAACTCGCAAGGCTTTTCTTCTCCTCTTGAGGAAAAGCTGTTTATAAACCCAGCCACCTCGAGTATAAGACACCTCGGAGCTATTTAAACATAGTAACGAATGCCTTAATTAGGGCAGGAACGGGGACTGCTGTAAATCTCTCCGGGTTCCCCTGAAAATAGCTTCCCACACTCATGCAACCAAGAGTTCCTTTTCACTTTATAAACATTCCTGGAACAACAACATTAAAGCCCTCTAAAAAAGAGATTATAAACATTAAATGCTATTTATGACTCTCGTGATAGAAACTACAGTTGAATTCATTTTAATATCATCACTTAATAAATGTACTGCAGGTTTTTCTCTTTCCCTGTAAATTATTTCAAAGATCTTCAAAATACGAGTTCAGAAATAGGGTAAACTCAGATCCTGCATGGCAAGAACTGGAGGAGGCACAAAATTCAATGACCTCTAGACCCTTCCTGCCCCTTCCTTGCCACCCCACCCCCAGGAGCCCCGCACTTAGATCATAAAAGGCAAACTGGAAGTCACCTGACAATGTTCACTTCCAATCAGGCCTTTGCATTGTGGTCTTCTCTGCTGAAATATGCTGACCTCTAAAATCTGCTGGGCCTCCACCATTTCTCCAGTCCAACATTTCACGGAACCTGGTTTTCTTCCCAGAAGAGGAAAGATTTTGTATCAGACTGGGAGATAAGGAAAGTTTCCCAAGAGAGACTGATGGCAGCCTGGAGTGACTTGTGAGGGATGAGAAGGCATCTCTCAGGAACTGGGAGATGAGTGGTCCAAGGACAGCCTGGGTACAGACGCTGGAGGCCCCTGAGGCAAGTACGTGCCCCGGCAACATGTGTGTTGGGGGGGCCAGGGAGGGAGGCACAGTGCTAGGGAATTCTCACCTTTCTCTCAGTAGAATGTCTGGGTCATGGGAATACAGATTTTTCTCTGACAAGAGTCTTCATTGCTTCCACCTCCATCCCTAATACACAGAAGATGCTTGATAAATTTGTGTTGAATGAGGGGCTGGAGGAACTGAGAAGATGAAAAGAATTGAATTACAAGGTGCTTGAAACTTCCCTGGTGGTTGACAATCCACCTGCCTGTGCAGGGGACATGGTTGGATCATTGGTCAGGGAACTAAGATCCCACATGTCACAGAACAACTAAGCCCGAGAGTTGCAACTATGAAGCCAGGGCCCCCCTGTAAGCTGCAGCTAAAGAGCCCACTCAACACAGTAAAGTCCCAAGTGCTGCAATTAAGACCCATCATAGCCAAATAAGTAAATATATATATAAATTTTTTTTTAATTTTTTTTTTTAAAGAAGAAGATGCTGTGTGGTTGGAGAACCACCCTTTACTACCCCTCTTCTAAGGATAATATCTCGCGCTCTTTTCATACTAATTCACCTGCCATGAAGGGGCAGTAGTGCTAACATCATCGGAAAAGCCAATTCTCAGAAACAGGGTAAGTGACGGGGGAGGAACCCACAGCGGGTTTGCCCCCATGGATGTCAGCGCTGGCGGTGGGAACGCTCACTTTTTCTTCGGGCCAGGTTCATATCTGCAAGACAGCCTCTGCCTCTAACAGCTACCTCAGAGACCAGACAGGAGGCATTAAAAATTAAACACCGCAAGAGTCGATCGACTTCCAATCTCGAGTTTATGGACAAGAAAATGCTTAATGACAGGTGGTCTGTGTAACAGAGGTGGCCTCTGAGAGACATTGCTCTTGATTTTATTTTTTAATTAACTTTTATTTTCAGTATTTTGTCCCTTTTTTCTGCTCCTGCTGGAATGATATATAAATGATAAAAGGCTCACCACTGCTTCTGGAGCAGCCCAGGTCACCTCACCGCCTGGCTGCAAGGGAGGAAATCTTTAAAGATCACTCTGTCTCAAAATTCTAATGTTGCCAAGTGCACACACACATCTCATAATATGGCCCCAAATGCAGTTCTGAAAGCTAAAGAGTGCAGTACTTCACCGCTTCACACTGACAGACTCCTAATTATCTATTCCGAACCCTGGGAAATAGTATTCCTCCCAGTTAAGGATCACTACCATCTGATGCAAGACACACGCATGAGTTGAGTGTGTTTTATTCAGCATCTATCAAGAGTGCATGAATAGCAAAATAGGCACAGTCCATGTCTTATGATGTGACATTAAGATGAATATACTCTGACTTCGAGTAGGGTCATGATTGAATTACATCTGTATATACATACGTATACACACAGACACATATATAATAGAGTCATTAATAGCAGGAAGCAAGAAATATCTTAAGGTCACTGCTTTCTCAAAACTGTGAGCTCATCTGATTCCCACGGTCACCCTGGGAGACAGCAGACACATCCTAGTCATTTCACAGAAGTCAAAGCTAAGACTCAGAGATTGAGTAACTTGTCGAAGACCTCTCAACTTGTGAGTGTCGGGGCTGGGATGTAAACCCAAGTAGTCTGACTCTAGAGACTATCCTCTGAACCCCTGCACACATTGGAAGCATGTGTATGTGCCCTGGAGAATAAAGGAAGGAGAAAGAAAAATAATTTGGGAAATGTAGCAAGAACTAGATTATGCAGGATCTCAAATGCCACCAGACGTCATTTGACTTTTGTTCTTCATGTCTCAAGGAAACAGCAAGGTTTGAATGGGAGATCTTTGAATAAAAGGATGGACAGTCAAATTTAATTCTCCAGTTTATCATTTTCTTACAATCAAAAATTACACACACACACACACACACACACTTGTTTGTTTTGTGCATATGTCTATTCCTTTGCCTCATGAATAAGTTATATCCTGATGCACCCTCAAAGCCTGGCACATATAAGGCCCTTAATGAGCAAATGAGTCAAGGACACCAGGTGTAAAGTCCCAATGCCACCCCATGCCTGGATCATCTGGATTCTTTGAAATAAACACACACCAGGCTCCCTACATAGCTTTCCCAAAGAAATAGTGGTCAAAATGACCTTCTTGCCCTGGGTCTATCCATTTCTACTCATTGCTCACCCAGATTTGGACTAGAAATAGCCTGGCCTCAGGTTTTCTCAGTAGATAGAATAACCATGTTCTGGTCCACTGATTACAGGCTACCTCTTTGGGTTATATATTTTATAGGGACTCCTGGCAAAAGAAGTCATCCTTGCCTCTCTGCTGTTCAGTCTCCTTTTAATATTAAAAGTTGTATCACATAGCCTTATTTGAACAACAGTAATAAAGGGGGGGAAAAAATCCCAAAATCTTACATCTGAACTCACCCAACCTTGCTCACTCTGACCCTCGCTTCATTGCCTCTTCCAGATCCTCTGCATTTAGTACAGAGCACTTAACCTTCCACAGGATATTTTTATGCTCCATTTTCTGTGCCATTAAGAAAGGAGATGAAAGTAAATGGACTTGACTTTGGATGGGTGCTGGCATCATCCATGGATATACTTTCCCACCCTGCCTACTTCCCAAAAGGGAAGCACAGATGTGAAGCGAGTGAGGGGGTTTTCAAATTAAATGCATTTCAGAAAGTCAGGTAGGCAGGAACAAACGCCTTTGGTTGGGAATGCCAAACTAGGAAAGCATGTCCACCTGACCCACACAGGCAAGACCATTTACTGAGTAACAGAACAGAGCAGGACAAGACCAGGTCAGCTGTCTTATTTATTCTCCCGGGAGGTCTTGCCCTTCTCCTTCCTATCACTTGGCACGGTAACTACTTGTTCAATGTCTCCTTTCACAGGCATTGTTTTGGTTACCTGTAAACTTGTTTACTCATGTAAACTTGAAGCTTAAAACAAAAACAGGCATTTGTTTGGCTCACCGACGTGTGATTTAGGGCAGGCTCACCAGCAGCAGCGCATGTGAGCCCCCTACAGGGTCCCTAGTGTTAACTCCACCGGAGAGTCAGCTTCCAAGATGGCGTCCTCAGAGCTGACAGCTTGGTCCTGGGGAACCAAGTCAGAGCTGTTGGCTAGGAGTCCCCAGTCCCTCTCCGATGGGCCTCTCCAAGAGGCCGTTCACAACGTGGTAGCTAGTTTCTAAGAGATAGGGGGCAGAAGCAGTCAGTCTTTTATGACCTGGGCCCAAGTACTGACTGCTGTGGACTGAACTGTGTTCCACAGCTAAAGATGTATTGAAGTCTTAGCCACCAGTCTCTCACAGTGTGACCTCATTTGGAAATAGGCTCCTGGAAAATATAGTCAACTTAAGATGAGGTTATTTGGGTGGACTCGAGCCCAACATGGCTGGCATCCTCACATTAATAAAATAGGGACATCAGGGGTTTCCCTAGGGGTCCAGTGGTAAAGAATCTGCCTGCCAGTGTGGGAGACACAGGTTCAGTCACTGGTTCAGGAAGTATTCCATGTGCCTGGGGACAGCTAAGCCCATGCTCCACAACAACTGAGCTCCATGCCTTACAGCCTGTGCTCTGTACCAAGAGAAACCACTGCAACGAGAAGCCCGTACATCACAACTAGAGAATAGTCCCTGCTCACCACAACTAGAGAAAGCCCATGTGTAGAAACAAAGACCCAGTGCAGCCAAAACTAAATAAATAAAATAAATTAAAAGGGACATTGGACAGGGACACAGACAAGCACAAAGAGACAACAGTGTGAAGACACACAGGGAAAATGTCTTGTGACGGTGAAGACTGAGATTGGAGGATTGCATTTACAAGCCAAAGGCTGGTTGCAAACCACCAGACACTAAGGTGGAGGACTAGATCTCTCCCAAAGTTTTCAGAAGGAACCAACCTAAGCCAGCATTTATCCTGGATTTCTAATCTCCAGGGAGTACATGTCTGTTGTTTAAGTTAACAGTTTGTGATACTCTGTTAGAGCCGCTCGAGGAACCTGTACACTGACATGGCATTACTACTGGTCAAAGCAATCAGAGACAGCCCAGATTCAGAATCTCAGAGTCAAAAAATTCTTGGCCATCATGAAGCCACCATAAGACACTGAAGCAAAGGTCATGGCTATCTTGATTTCTAATTTTTGGCGTGCATGCTTAGTCATTAAATCATGTCCAATTCTTTTGGACCCCATGGACTATAGTTCTCCAGGCTCCTCTGTCCATGGGATTTCCTAGGCAAGAATTCTGGAGTAGGTTGCCATTTCCTTCTCTAGGGGATCTTCCTGTCCTAAGGATCAAACCTACGTCTCTTTCCACAGTTCCCAGAATTGCAACAACAGCAACAACAACAAAAAAGAATCAAATAATGAGAACATTAAGAGGAAGACTATTCATTGGAAGAACTGATGCTGAAACTCCAATACTTTGGCCATCTGAGGCAAGAGTCAACTCATAGGAAAAGACCCTGATGCTGGGAAAGATTGAGGGCAGGAGGAGAAGGGGACAGCAGAGGATGAGATGGTTGGATGGCATCACCAACTTGATGGACATGAGTCTGAGCAAACTCTGGGAGATGGTGAAGGACAGGAAGCCTGGCATGCTGTAGTTCATGGGGTCACAATAAGAAGGACACAACTGTGCGACTAAACAAGAGAAAAAAGAAAGAGAAGAGGAGGGAGAAAAGAGAAAGAAGGACAAGAAGAAACAGAAGCAGGAGAACAGTTACCATGATGACCTTACCACATATCTGATATTTTATGTATGTTGCATTATTTAATTACCATGAAATGCCTGAAAAAAGTGAAAGCATTAGTCGCTTCTGCTGTGTCCGACTCTTTGTGACCCCATGGACTGCAGCCCACCAGGCTCCTCTGTCCATGGGCTTCTCGAGACAAGAGTGGGTAGCCATTCCCTTCTCCAGGGAATCTTCCTGATCCAAGAAGGAGTTAAGCTCATTATTTAATTACCATAAAATGTCTCTGTCACAGGTATGCTTCTCCCTGTTGTCCAGCAGAGGAAACTGACTCGGAGGGGTTACAAACAAACCTGCACCCAGAATGCACACTAGGGAATGGTGAGTTTGGGATTCAAATCCAAGTTCAAACAACCCTGAAGCTTGTGTTTCTTCACACTACCCTGAGCCACCCAGGTGAAGTAGATGAACTAAACCTACCACCACAGGGTGCTGTGCAAAACGGGATGCCCTGAAGGCAGCAATATAGGAGGAGTTATGGAAAGTCACCTGTGATGTAGCAAAAGTGATGGAAAACTTAGGACTTTTTCATTGTTTGAAGACACTGTACCTTATCCTCTGAAATCAAAGAAAAAATTTTCCCCAAAGCTCATCAAATCCTACTCTACCATTTCATGTCAATTCACACACACCCTTCCTCACTCAATGCTATTCCTCTTAAATATACCATTGGCACTTTCTTAATAACTGAGGTCTCCTGGGGGAAATCACATGAAGTGCATCCGTTTCTATTTAAGACTGACAAAGGCAGGAGGAGAAAGGGGACCCTGACATTCCAGTAGCCTGCTGGCTGCCTTTTCCGGGCCAGCATGGCTGGACACAATGGTTCAGGTTCGAGAAATGGTATTCATTATGTTCCTCTTGGCTCTCTCGGCCTGATGCTTGAGGCCTCGCAGTCTGGAGGAAGAAGGAAGCGGGGAGAGGGAGGGATGGGAGACAGGAGGACATCACTGATAAGAACAAAGGCCCAGCAGACTCCGGAAGCCCATGCACTGAGCAGCCAAGAGGAGCTGACTTCCAGCAACATGAAAAGACAAGTGAGAAGAGGATTACGGGAACTTCCTTTTCTTGCAGTGTGGCCGGGTCATTAGGGTGTTGTGGTTGCCCAGCAAAGACTCATTAAAACAATAAATAAAACCACACTCACTACAGCTAGGAGTTCTCTTTTCCAGTATGGTTTGCTAAAAAGAGGCTGGGTGCCTGTCTCCTGCCATTGGCTAGCGGTGTTCCTAATCTACGGCAAGTTGAATTTAGAACAGCCAAGGAGATCAGAAATCCCTTTCACTCTTGTTGTATTGTACAGAGACGAGGATGAAGAGAGGCGCAGGTATTTAAGTATTCAAGGATAAGAATGGCCATTGGATCTTTCTGGATAATAATGAGGTCTCAATTTAGAGTGAAACTCCACCTTTAGAGCCCAGCTTTCTTTGGGATCTATAGAAATGTCCTCTTCAAGACTCTCACTCAAGAATCCCTGGGTGCATTTTCGAAATGCTCCCCTAGGTGGTCCGTGCATTTGAATTAATGAAAGAGACAGAAATGAAGAGCTGAAAGCAGGTAATTCAGTACAACCCGTTGACACTTTAAAATGCCTTACTTCTCTAGGACCTTTTTCTGAACTCATCGAAAATGCCAAACAGCCTCTTCTAGGATAGATACAAATAGCCCTTCAGTCTCAAAAATACAAGATTATAGGAGGATTTAATTCTAAATTGTCCATTTCTGAAAGGTAACTCTGATCAAACTTACGGTCTGATGGCTGTTAAGAGTCATCCAGGCTCTTCTCAATTATCATATAAATGCATATCTCAAGCATATTTGTTATTCCAAATCTTCAAATCACAATTTTTTTACAGCTGGTCCTTGAAGAACTTTCAAGTTCAAGTTCTGGCCTGTCCCAGCTTTCAAGTCCTTCCCTAAGGGCAGTCACAGAAACTAATGGGGATTCCTCATTGTCCCCAAATAGGTCAAGAGTGTCTGCCCTTGGTGGAACTGCCTTCACCCTGTGACCCATCTATACCACTCTACCCCATGGTGCTGCCCCAAGGGCTAAGAGCATGAATTTGGGAATCAGGCAGATCTGGAATTTAATTTTTGTCTCGCTACTTATCAGCAAGTGATCTTAGGCAGAGAGAGCACAGACTCAGTTCCAAATGATAATGAGTACTTACATCACAGAATTCTTGCAAGGATTTAATGTGAAAATAAATTCAAAGAAGTCAGCAGCGCACTCGGCATAATGTAAGGACTGAATAAAGTAAGGTTGTGGTTCAGTCGCTCGGTCCTGTCCAACTCTTTGTGACCTCATGAACTGCAGCACGCCAGGCTTCCCTGTCCATCACCAACTCCCAGAGCTTGCTCAAACTCATACCCACTGAGTCAGTGATGCCATCCAACCATCTCATCCTCTGTCGCCCGCCTCCCACCCTCAGTCTTTCCCAGCATCAGGGTCTTTTCCAATGCTTTTCCAGAACAAGGTTATTGTTGTTACAAGTATTACTACCTGTAGTTGTCAAAATTCTTCAATCAAGACCCAAATGCAACCTCCACGATTCCTCCAGTTAAAAGCAACCTCATCCTCTTCTGAACTCCTAAATTGCATCTCACATAGAGTACTTAAGGTCATTATTTCAGTACAATAATAAAACTATCTAGTGCTTGGCAGTGATGGTTTAGTTTGCTAAGTCCCGTCCAACTCTTGCAACCCCATGGACTGTAGCCCACCAGGCTCCTTTGTCCATGGAATTTCCCAGGCAAGAATACTAGAGCAGTTTGCCATATCTTCCTCCAGGGCCTCTTCCCAACCCAGGGATCAAAATCCACATCTCCTGCATTGGCAGGTAGATTCTTTATCAAATGAGCCTCCCGGGAAGCTCTTATTTAGTGCTTATATGTGTGTTAATCATGACATTAAGCATTTCACAAACATTTGTTTGCATTCACTCCCCACCTTTGAACTGTGTACTGTTGTTATCCCCATTCTATTGATGATGTACAATGAGGTGAAACCGCACAGCTATTTAAAGGGAACACTGGCATGTGAAGCCACCGACACAGGCTCCGAGGCTCTGCTCTCAACTGGCATGTGCTGCTTCGCCTCCTCTCACGCCTCATCAAGGTCCAGTGAGCGCATCAGCGTCACTCCAGCCCTGGCCCTGTAATCTTCTGGAGGCAGAAAGAAGATGAAGTTTAAGGACTTGGCTTCAAACTCCATTTTAGCCACTGGATCACTCCTGGTAAAGAGTTCGCCTGCCAACGCAGGAGACATAAGAGATGCAGGTTCGATCCCTGGGTCAGGAAGATCCCCTGAAGAAGGAAATAGCAACTCACTCCAGGATTCTTGCCTGAGAAATTGCATGGGGCAGAGGAACCTGACGAGCTACAGTCCATGGGGTCGCCAAAGAGTCAGACACTGCTAAGCATGCGCACTTGGATGAGCCATGAGATTCTGGGCAGATCATTTAATATTCCAAATTTTTTCAAATTTATATTTCATTTGCAAATCGGGAAAGTGGAACTTCTTAAAAGATTAGGAATAATATATATCAAACGTGTAGTATCCACCATATGGTAGGTACTCAACTAATATATTTTGTTGATACGTTTGAAGACTTTAGGTAGCAGGAATCATATTTTATATATTTTTTTATATCTTCTTAATCCCAGAAATAAGCCCAGATAGTCCCTTGCACAGAACAACTCCGTGTACATTTTTGGCCTGAATAAGTCAATGCCCGTGTGACACAAATTGTTCTAGAAGAACATGGAAAATGGTGAGTTTTTCAGGTACCTGCAAACCTTATTAATGAAATAACACACATTCTTTTATGTGGCAGTGACATTTAGAGTTTCCCCTAATATAACAAGGGGTCTATCCAACCCTGAGGCTGCCCTAGTTCAAGGCCAGGGTCCAGTCTGAGATTCAGGCAAAGGTAAACAGCACCACCTACTGAACAGTGGTTTTCTGTATTCCAGAAGGCCACAATGTGAGCTCAGCCAAGGCCGCATCCCAGCACTTATCTCCAAGTCTAAACAGAGCTCAAATGAAAGCTACATGATTGTCAAAAAGACAGTGTCTCCAGGAAGCGAAGGGTCGTCTTGCTCACTCTGATGTATGTGCTCTGATGGGCCTTTGTCAAAGTATGTCAGTGACTCTGGAGGCGGGCAGCCCTGTGGCTGCCTTAGCCATCAGTGAGGGACCACATGGAAGTTTTTCAACACTCTTTTTCTGCCTAATGGCTGCACCTTACTAAGCAGTGTAACTTTGTACAAACACTGACCCAGGTCACTGTGTCTTTTCTGAGGACTCTGGGTATTTAACCAAAATGTTCAGCAACATGATGGCCTTAGATAAAGGGACAACCTCATCACTGCCTGAAAATCTCTCTTCAATGAGTCACAAACAAACAACATTTGATTTTGATGTAGTTCCCTGCTCTTCTGCATCTGCCCTCTTGCCTGCATGTCATTAATTAAGGGTGAGAGGGGAGGAACCCAAACTCTAAGATCCCTTTATGTTGGACTTGTTACTCCCAAATCCCCTGAAGCATCCGCAAATTCTAGTGTATGCATGTGTGCATGCTGTCACATCAGTTGTGTCCAACTCTTTGGGACCCCATGGACTGTAGCCCGCCAGGGTCCTCTGTCCATGGGATTCTCCAGGCAAGAATACTGGACTGGGTTGCTATGCCCTCCTCCAGGGGATCTTCCCGACCACGGGATAGAATCCACATGTCTTAAGTCTCCTGCATTGGCAGGAGGGTTCTTAACTACTAGCACCACCTGGGAAGCCCCCCTGGTGTATAGCAGATGTTTTGTAAATGCCTGGCGCCTGGATGAGTGAAACTCACCACCTCTCTGGCCTGGAAGGGGGAGAGGGCATCATACACTTGCCTGCAAGCACTGCAGGTACCACCCAGGCAGATCCCCTGGGAATACCACCTGACTTCCTTCTTTCAGTATCTCAGCCTCTGGCTCCACTTCTCTGGACCTACATTCTGTGCATCGTGATCCTAGTGAACATCAGGTGTGAGACTTAGGGACAGAGATAGTAAATCCCTTAATTAAGGAGAGCCCGAACTAGGTTCATTTCACTGACTTATTCCCAGTGTCCCCCAAAAAGTAGTAGAACGCAATAGGTCCTCAATGAATATTTGTAGAATGAGTGAGTGAATGCACGAATAAAAAGACTAGCGAGGAGAACCTTCACAGAAGGAAGGATGAGGCAGAGAGAGGAGCAGGTTGAAGGAAGGGAGGAGGGAAGGAGAGCAAAGAGATGGGTGGACCTTTGGGGAGAAGGGAGGCAGAGTGCATGTGGGAGAGAAAGCCAGGATGTTTGTCTGCAGCTCAGCCAGGAGGAACTCTCATCCCTACCGCCTCTGTCAGAGCCATCCCTTCCCCAGGACTCCATGGGTCTCCATCCTTAGGGGAGCCCCACACAGAGGACTGGGGACCAACCATTCTCTCCATACCACCACCCTATGGATAAAGCCCTGCTTTCCAGAGGGACATGCTCTTTCTCCAGGGCTTCCCCGGTGGCTCAGCAGGTAAAGAATCTGCCTGTCATGTAGGTGATGTGGGTTTGATCCCTGGGTCAGGAAGATCCCTTGAAGAAGGAATTGGCTACCCACTCCAGTATTCTTGCCTGGAATTCCATGGACAGAGGGACTTGGCCAGCCACAGTCCATGGGGTTGCAAAGAGTGGGATATGACTAAAGAGACTAACACACACATATATATCTTTGTGTATATCCCCTTGTGGTTCAGCTGGTAAAGAATCTGCCTGCAATGTGGAGATCTGGGTTTGATCCCTGAGTTGGGAAGATCCCCTGGAGAAGGGAAAGGCTACCCACTCCAGTATTCTGGCCTGGAGAATTCCATGCACTGTATAGTCTATGAAGTTGCAAAGAGTCAGACACGACTGAGCGACTTTTACTTTTACTTTCATATATACATATATATCTATCTATCTTAGTCCTTTGCCTCTGTCTTCTTGTTGCTACTGGTGGTGGTTTAGTTGCTCAGTCATGACCAACTCTTTGCGACCCCGTGGACTGCAGCCCACCAGGCTCCTCTGT